ATCTCCGAATACACTTAAGAACTTAATCCTTAGGTCAATTGCCACTCGAAGGCCCATGATGCATGCTTCATACTCCGCCATATTGTTGGTGCAGTTAAAACATAATCGGGCGGTGAAAGGAGTATGACAGCCTTCAGGAGATATGATCACGACGCCAATGCCATTACCCAATGCGTTTGAAGCTCCGTCAAAATACATAGACCATCGGGATCCCTCTTCAGGTCCTTCATCCGTTCCAGGTGTTTCACAGTCAGTCACCAACATGATGCTCTCATCCAGAAACTCGAAGTTCATAGACTGGTAATCATCCATGGCTTGATGTGCCAAATGATCTGCCAACACACTTCCCTTGATTGCTTTTTGGGTTGTGTATTGGATGTCATATTCAGTCAAGATCATTTGCCATCTTGTTATTCTTCCGGACAAGGCAGGCTTCTCAAAGATATACTTGATTGGATCCATCTTTGATATCAATAGGGTAGTGTGAGTCAGCATATACTGTCCTAGCCAGCGAGCAGCCCATGCCAAAGCGCAGCAAGTTTTCTCAAGCAGTGAGTATCAGGTCTCACAGTCGGTAAACTTTTTGCTAAGGTAGTAAATAGCATGCTCTTTTCAGCCAGACTCCTCATGCTGCCCCAGCACACACCCCATTGAATTATCGAGTATTGTCAAGTATAAGATCAAAGGTCTTCCTTCAACGGGAGGCATCAGAATGGGTAGCTCTTGGAGATATTCTTTTATCCTTTCGAAAGCAGCTTGACATTCATCATTCCATCTTACCACTTAATCTTTCTTCAACAGCTTGAAGATTGGTTCAAAAGTAGCAGTCAGGTGCGAAATGAATCGGGTAATGTAGTTCAGACGTCCCAGAAAGCCTCTAACTTCTTTTTCTGTTCGGGGAGCGGGAATCTCCTGTATAGCCTTTACCTTTGCAGGACCCACTTAAATACCTTTATCACTAACAATGAAACCCAACAGCTTACCAGATCTTACTCCGAAGGTGCACTTGTTCGGGTTCAACCTCAGTTTGTACATCTTCAGCCTGTCGAATAGCTTCTGGAGATGGTCGAGATGTTCCTCTTCAGTTTGGGATCTTGCAATCATGTCGTCAACGTATACCTCAATCTCATGATGAATCATGTCGTGGAACAAAGTGACCATGGCGCGCTGATACGTCGCCCCAGCATTCTTCAATCCGAACGGCATGACCTTATAGAAAAAGGTACCCCACTGCATAACAAATGTTGTCTTCTCCATGTCCTCGGGAGCCATCTTAATCTGATTGTAACCAGAAAAATCATCCATAAAAGAGAAGACCTTATGAAGTGCGGTGTTGTCGACCAGAACATCGATATGAGGAAGAGGGAAATCGTCTTTGGGGATTGCCTTATTCAGATCCCTATAGTCAACACACATTCGGACTTTACCATCTTCCTTCGGCACCGAAAACACGTTGGCAACCCACTGTGGGTAAGAAGTAACTGCTAGAAAACCGACATCAAACTGTTTCATAACCTCAGCTTTGATTTTCTCAGACATCTCTGGGCGCATTCGGCGAACCTTCTGCTTCACTGAAGGATAGTCTTCTTTAGTTGGCAAGCGGTGAACCACAATATCAGTATCCAGCCCAGGCATATCTTCATAAGACCAAGAAAAGATCTCAACATAGTCATGCATCATTCATATCAACCATTTCTTAACACCAGACTCCAGATTTTGCACCGATCTTAACCTCTTTCTTGTCTTCCTTAGTACCCAGATTTATTGATTCTACTAGCTCTTCATAGGGCTGTATGGCCCTCTCTTCCTGTAGCAACAGTCTAGCAAGTTCCCCAGGCACTTTGCAATCATCCTCACCTTCGTCCTCGGCTTGGTTGATCGGACTTTCGAAGTCATAACTGGCAGTAGCAGAGTCGTTATCAGTGGGATCCAGAGTGGATGCGGACCTGTATTATGATATGTGAGTGTGTGTAAGACAATAGCTGTTTTAATAAAGTGCAAGATAGAAAAACAAAGAGCGCAAAATTTGTAATGCAAGAAAGCGTCTGATGCTTTATTGATGATATATGGAAATGACAAATATTAAGCCCTCACAAACAAAGCCACGGTGTCTCGGGCAAGGCACCAAGCCGTAAAATTTTAAATTGTCTGTTACACAACTTAAAACAAAAGTCTATTACTGTGTAATAAAAGAAATGGGCACGAAGTCCTTCGCCGTCCAATTGCTTAATTCGTCGTCGGTAGTCGGGTAAATCCAGCTGTCAAACTCAGACTCTTCATCACCATCTTCAATTGCATTCACTTCCGGATTACTGATACGCAGGGGAGGTCTTCCAATCCATGCACGCCGAACAACCCTTTGAGCTTCTGCAGTAAAACCCAAACCAAACTTGTCAGTCTTGTGTGCAAAGTCAGGGAGTTGGCCCCAACTCGCACACCCACCTTTTTCAATAATAGCCCGGGCATCCTTGAGGGAATCCATCTTCATTGGAAGATCTTCAGCAATAGTTTCAGTCGACGCCAGAGTCTGGGGGACTTCTTCAAAGTTCTGACACGGGGTTTCAACGAACTCCCCATCCATCTCCATATACCAATGAAACAACCGGCTGAAAATCATCAAACAATGAAGTCGCCATCAAACGTCTTTTATCCCACATGTAGGGAAAGGTAAACATCGAGAAAACCTGAGAAGGGAGAAGTCACAGTCTTGCGACCGAGAGATTGGGTAAGGGAGTCTGTTACGCGAGGGGAAGGTATTAGCACCCCACACGCCCGTAGTACTCTATGGTATCCACTCTTATTGTCTATCTTATGGGTGTGTTTAATCTATGCTTACTATCTACTATACTACTAGAGGGAAAATGCATGCAAAAGAAAGGGGAAAAGAATGTAGGGAAAATAAAATTGTACTCGCCTGGGCCCTACCCCAATGCCTACATATCCGTTTTGAGGAATCAGAGCTACCGTAGTTTGGCTCATATGTTTTTGTTTGTTTGTGTTTTTTATGGACGAAGTTAATTCCGCCTTCTGTCGCAGCTCGACCTTTGGAGACTTATGCGTTGGCACAGAAGTAAATTAATCATGTCCTTACCTGAAAAGGTTTTTTTAAGAAAGTGCTCGAGCGCACAAAATGGTTTGAATTTGTTTTGTATTTTTGTTGTAGATGTTTTTTATGGACGAAGTTAATTCCGCCTTCTGCCGCAGCTTGACCTTTGGAGACTTATGCATTGGCACAGAAGTAAATTAATCGTGTCCTTACCTGAAAAGGGTTTTTAGAGAGAAGGTTCTCGAGCGCACAAAATGGTTTGAATTTGTTTTGTATTTTTGTTGCAGATAATGACTAGTCGACCTCAAGAGAGAGATATTAGCCATTTTTCTACTTAGTCATGAAAGGGGTCTTTGAGAATTGAACCACAACTACGCTTGAGATGAAGAACGATAAGGTCGAGAAGAGACCCGCTTATCATTTCTCGTACTAAGCAAAAGCATGATTCTCATCAATAGTTTTAAAGTGTTTTGAATTTTGAAAGGAAAAGAAGTTTTAGTTTCAGGTGCGAATGCAAAAGGAGAAAGAAAAGTCAAAGGGGACTAGCTTATTTCTAAACCTAATGTTATCGTGCATTAGTAGCCCTAAAGTTAGAATTTTGAGGGGATTCTACATAATGTTAGCATGCATGTGGGTTGCGATAAAGTACCGAAATGAAGAATAAAATAGAGTTGTGACGATACCGAACGGAGAAGGTCCGTTGCCTCTTCAAAATTGTACAAGCGGTAAGAAAATTCTATCAAAGTTCCCTTGGGCAAGTGATTGAAGAATTAACCCCGAGTATTCCACATTGCAAGAGTTATATCAATGCTATCACAAAAATCTTGACTAAAAAAAGTCAATAAGAATGATTACCAAATATGAAAAATAAAATAGAAAAAATTCTAATCGAAATTCTAAAAAGAAATTCTAAAGAAATCTAAAATATTCTATTATTTTGTATCATTTTATTGTCAATTGAGAGAAAAAATTAAACTAGAAGAAAAACTAAAATAATAATAAAAAAGGAAAAATTAGAAGAATCAGGGGGTACAAGCTGAATTCAGGGTGCTGCAAGAAAAAAAATGCAATGACATCAGGCCCCATCAAAAATAGACACAATCAGCAAAAAAATAAAATAATCATAGTCCAGGAATTGATTAGTTCGGCCCATGTCAACCATTCCTAATTTTATTAATCATCACATTATTATTATATTTATTTGTTGAATTAATAATAAAAAAATAAAAAAAAGCAATAGAATAAACTGGTTCAGAAAGAAAGAAAGAAAAGAAAAAAAGGAAAAGGGGCGATCTAGGGATTCAAGACAGCGTCACCTCGTCTTCTTCGCCCGTCCTCCATCGCGATTCTCCTTTTTTCTTCACCGGCCCTCCGTCTACCTCATCGATTCGCAATTGATTCCGCCATCATCATTATCGCCAAGAGCCACCGATTATCACCTTCTTGTTATCTCTGGCAGCATTTCTAGCCGATTCAAGAACCTCGGAGGCGAGATATTTGAGAACGGCGATGAGGTAGTCAGGAGCACCGGTTCCCAAACGCTGTGAGTAGCGGCCTTCCTTCAAAAACCGAGCGACACGACCGACAGGGAATTGGAGACCTGCTTTGGTGGATTTGGAAACAACTTTCTTCCTGTCATCGTCATTCGTGATTGCTTCAGTTCAACATCGATTTAATCGCCATTCAGAGCGATCCTCCATCTCTGTCGTTTCAATACCACAAAGAATTTTCGTAATCTTCGATTCAAACTCGCTCAGAATCCGTGGTTCCTCCATCTCCGATTTATGCTTCCTTAACATAGATAACGAGTTCTTGGCTGAATCACCCTCTACTTTTTGCATTTTTAGGTGCCGATATGTGTTGTTGTTGTTGATGCTCGATGATGTTGCTGATATGCGTTGAAGCTGAAGAATTGTTGATGGTGATGATGAACGAATCATCGTTGTTGATGGTGATGCTGAACGATGATGAATCGTTGTTGATGGTGATGCTGAACGATGATGAATCACTCTTGAGGAATGGTGGATTGAGGAACGATGCGGAGAAAAAGGTGAGATGAACTTTTTCTTTTGAGATTTTTCTATCACTTTTCTGGGTTGTTGAATCCTCTCCCAAATAAAAATTTCTGCCATTTATATATGTATTCTTATGCTGGAAGTTTGTTGGTTAGGAGGTAGTTATCAAAAATTTTGTTATGCAGTTAAAATACAGTTAGGAATTCTGTTTTGGATTTGCAATTAGAGTTTGTTATGTTATTGGAAAAAATGGAAAGTTGGAATTGGTTAAGTTAGTTATAGATTATGAAAGTTGTTAGGAAAGTTATGGTTATTCTGTTTGTGTTTATAGTTAGGAGGTTCAGAAATTGTTAAATGGTTGTTTGGATGGTTTTGATTTAATGATTGTTTTTGTATTGATTTATGCAGGTAGGCTGATTTATGCAGGTAGGCAGGAGGTACAACAAGGTAGCGTATTTGTGGTGGCATAAGTGTACTGTTTTAGGGTAAATCAAATCGGACAGCAGGACAACGAGGCATAACAACATAGGCAAGTTTGGTTATGTTTGGATGCAGTCCCCGTAGCATGGTCCGTATTTTTGTGAATGGAAAACCTTACATGATTTTATATTGTTTGCTTTGTGTAGGTCAATATGTGAAGGCGTAGCATGATATTTGAATGCAAGGCAGTTGACGAAGCAAGGAGTTTAGACACAAAGGCTAGTGAAGATGAAAGCAAAGCTTTGGCCATGGAGTTGATGAAGGTGAAAGCGAAAACATGGTTGAAGCTTAAAGTTAGGTGAAGATTGTAACATAGAACCTTTGGCCATAAAGAGTGGAGCATGAATATTAGATAAAGGTTGAATATGGAATCACTAGGCTTAGGATGAGTGTTAAGGTTTAGGAATGGTTATTTCATATTATTTTTTGATGTAAAGGACATGTAACAGAGAAATATTTAGTTGTAATTGTCTTTATGGAATGAACACGGTTTGAATATCATTGATGAATCTTGTTTAAACTGGTTTGATGCTTGAGTGAGATCAAATAGACGGTGATATATTCGAACACAGCATGATAACGCTTGGGTGAATTGAACTTGAATTTTTATGAATGATTTGGATCCTGAATGAGTTCGAAATTGATGATGAAAGGTATAGAATTCTTGGAATATGGACTTGAAAAATGCTTTGCAATTTGAATTTTACACTTTACTTGTTGCTTGTATTTCAAGCAAACCACATGACTGAACCTTCCAAATTTAGCATGAGCCAAATCCAAACTTATGTCCTTGAATAGGTTGAATTCATGGAATCACTTGAATGAATGAATTAACACATCCGAATTCCATGCATAAGAACCTTAATCCTTTTGAGATGTACCTTGGTGACTGAATGATACCGAGATATTGATAAGAAACCATGTTTTAACTCAAAATATATTTATCTGAATCCTTGATGAAACCCTAGCATTCACAATCTTAATGCACTTAGTTCTTGAAGTAACTTTGATACAAACGACTGTATCCCCTGATGAACTTGGGGGAAGATACCCTTATAGCCTGATAAGAAATAAGTCCACAACAACCACGAATAAAAATCCTATCCCCAACCATGAATATTGAAGAAGCAGCTTGAATCTCTTGAATGAAGATAAGAGCCTCAAAGCCATACAGGAACCCTAATTTTCAAGACCCTTGATCACGTGCCAAAAATGTTGTTAGCGAATGTATGCAATGTTAAATGATCTAATGGAGTTATGTACACGAGAAAAGTGCGACAATGCATAAACCAGATAAGAGTAGAAGGGTAGGACAAATTTGGGGTATTACAACTGAAAAGAGTTAAGGTGGCTCACCATGTACTCCTCTTCTCCTCGTACTGTAACAATTTTCCCTTTCACTGGGTATTTTAACATCTGATGGAGCGTGGAAGTCACTGCCCCAGCTTTATGAATCCACGGGCGACCTAGCAAACAAGAATAAGATGGTCGAATGTCCATTACATAGAACGTAGATGCGAAAGTCTGGAAACCAACTTTAACAGGGACATCCACCTCCTCGTGTACCATCCTTTTGGACCCGTCAAAGGCCCTAACCACAATATTACTTGGCTTCATAACCAACCCTTCACAGTCCAACCGGTCTAATGCTTTCTTGGGTAAAACATTTAACGAGGACCAAGTATCTACCAGTACATGGGCCAGAGTAGTGCCCCTGCACTCGATCTAAACATGCAGGGCGTCATTATGATTCTTTCCTTTGGCAGTCAGATCTGCGTCGGAGAAACCCAACCCGTTGTCAGCGGTCAAACTAGCCACACAGTCTTTGAATTGATCAGCAGATGTTTCCTGTGGCACATGCGCAGTTTTAAGGAAAGCAATTAAAGCCTTTGCATGGGCTTCTGAGCACAACAATAAAGATAACATGGAGATTTTCGACGGGGTCTGCCCCAGCTGTTCGACTACTTTGTAGTCGCTTTTCTTGATGATCTTTAGAATTTCCTCTATCTCCTGTCTAGAGGTTTCTACGATGATCTTCTTCGGTGCCTCCGTCCGGGCAGGCTCACAGGTGATCTCTTTGCCCCGAGCGTCAGATGACTCGGCAGCAGGGGTGATAATTGGAACATGAACAAGGACAGTAGCAGATATACTGGCGGGTGGAATAACATCAAGTTTCTGAACAGTCGGTGGGGAGATCTCAGGAGAGAAAAGTCTTCCGCTTCGAGTGACCTTGCTAGACCCAACAACATTGCTGACATCAGTGTCAGCCTCTTCAACCTTCAAGTCTTGTTTGATCCCATGATAATACACATCGGCCCCATAGTACCACGGGACAGCCTTATCCGAAGTGTACGGGATAGGACCAGGGATAGTTATGATCAATGGAGCAACTCTCGGAACAGATGTAATCCTAACAGGCTTTCTCGAGGAAGCCTTGGAAGGATTGGCGGAAATGGTTATTATGGAAACATCTTCAACAGGAATCAATGGAACCAAAGTTTTCTCGAACAGGATTTCTTTGTTATCCATCAGGCTTTGAACACCTGATTTCAATAGATGGCAACCAGTAGGCAGGATTGAACATAGGTGGCAGCCTTCGCCACAGCCCGGAAATAAACCGGCCAATAATAAGTTCTTCTTTACTATCATCAACGGAGTAGAAATGTCATGACATTAGGCTTTTCCGACGCATCAAATTCAATCTCTTTAGCTTCAATCAAATCTTGTACCTTATTCCTCAAGGCCTAGCAGTTATTCGTATCATGCCCTGGGCTATCAGAGTGATAAGCACAGCGGGCGTTTGGGTTGTACAGCGGAGATGTGGTGCTGGGATTCTTCGGGGCTTCCCTCAGAGTCACCAAGTTGGTTTTCAACAATTGCGGCAGAATTTGAGATAGAGTCATACTGAGTCGAGTATACTGTCTTTGTGGTCTCTCTACTCTTTGCTAATTGTTGCGTTGTGGGGCAACAATAGGTTTTGATATTACTACCGCATTAACTGCTTGGCGGCGTTCAAGTCGGTTTTGGCTCCTCGAGCTGTAAACTGCACTAGCTTCTTTCCTGAAGGGCTTCTTCTCTGTACTTGATGAAGCACCTTTTTGTATCTTGCCATTTTTGATACCATCTTCCACTCTCTCCCTAGTCAAAATCAATTCAGTGAACCCAGACGATGAACTACCGATCAAATGATTGAAATATGGACCAGACAAAGTCCCAAGAAACATATCCACTAACTCCCTATCAGACAGAGGGGGTTGGACTCTTCCAGCAAGATCTCTCCACTTCTAAGTGTAGTCCTTAAAACCTTCGCTCGCACCCATAGACATGCCCTAAAGCTGAGTACACGTGGGAGCAAGGTCAGCGTTATACTGGTATTGCTTGTAAAAAGCAGTAGCGAGGTCCTCCCAGTTGTGGACATTAGCTCCTTCCAGTTGATAGAACCATTCAAATTGAGTCCCTGACAGACTATCTTGAAATAAATGAACCCACAGGTTTCTATAAGCAGTGTATGGTTGAATCTTTCTAACATACGAGCAGAGGTGTAGCTTCGGGCAGGATACCCCATCGTACTTAGCAAAGACATGATCTTTAAACTTGTGTGGGATCACCACCCCAGATGCCAATCCCAAATCTCTAAAGTTCAACCCAGGTATCTTTGGATCTCCATTGCACTCAACCGGTCTTCAAGTTGCTTATATCTATCCTCAGCAGGAGGATACTGGTCTTCATCAAAGTCAGTGTCATTATCAGAGACCACGGGACTAGGCCCCTTTCTTTCCTCTTGATTCTCTCCCCCTCCAGATGAATGGGACAAATCGGTTTCCTATCGCAAATTATTCCCGAATCGGTGACCCATATTCAGGAGGACCACCTTCTTCTTCTTCTTCTTCTTCTTCTTCTTCTCTTTCAAGATGAGAGACTTCAAGTTTTGCTGCCCTTTGGCCAAATTCAAGAACATCTCCTGGAACTGAGCATTTTGAGCCTGAAGAGCCTTGATGGCTTGATCAGTAGGTGTTTCAGAAGACATGATTTCTGAAATAAACATCGAAGAAGATAAGAAACCTGTAATGGTACCTGTGATGAGGTGCATGATAATGAAATGCGTATGAAATGATTTCAAAGACTTTGGGAGATTCAAATTTTTAAACCAAAATAAAACACACTTTATTAGATTAAACTGGTAACAATGTTTAACAAGTGCCTTTAAGGCGTTACAAAAAAAATACTGAAAAGCAAATCTAAACTAGAAACAATAAAAGACATCAGAAATCCCATGGTCTCTTTCCCTTCGTGCTGACATAATCGTTGATTGTCCTCTCATTCTCAAGCTACCTTGTAAGCTTCAAGATCTTCCGTTCCTGCTCATGATACTTCTCTCTGTAGGTATCCCTTTCTTCCTTTAACTGGATCCAAGATCTCTTCAATTCCCCAAGATCAGTAGACATGTATGGATGGAGGATTGTGTAGGGAACACTTTCTTCATTAGTATGCTCTATAATCACCGACAAAACTGCTTCATATGGCATCCCCAGCTTTTGAGCACGGGCTCGGACCCACTGTAGATAAGGTTGCATTGGGAGAGAAGTCTACAGTCCTAGCTCATGTGGGTCAGACTTGTTCACCATGCCCCAAGCTCGTATAAACCTGCGGCGATGTCCCTTAACATCCCCCTTGTAGTCAAAGACAATGCCTGTAAGCAGCAGCTCATGGGGACCATCTCTCCGAGCGCGTCCAAACTATCGTAAAGCCAAACAAGGATTGTAGGTTATACCCCCTCGAAATCCAAGCAATGGAACATTAGGGTATTCCCCATATCGATCAATGACAGCTACTCTTTCCATATCTTTAGAACTCCAAAGGATATCCGTATGAGCAAGGGACGTGATTCTGTAAGCCCAACCTACACCTTCCTCATTCTTCAATACAGATTTGGGGAGGTGCAAAATAAACCACCTTGCCAGCAGCGGTGTGCAACACATGAGAGTTCCCCTTCTCTGCACAGTACGAGTATAGAGAGCATGCAAAATATCACCCAAGAGAGTAGGCACTAGGTTACGAGACATGAAGATCTTGACCGCGTTCACATCGATGAAAGAATCTGGATTTGGTAAAAGAACCAAGCCGTAGATGAGGAGAGCCAAGATGTCTTCAAATGCTTGAAAGTCCAAACTATCCCAGAACTGTTGAGCTTGATCGATCAAAAACTTAGCCAAGAAACCTTTAACCCCACTCCAAGTCTCCCAATTAGACATTATATCATCCTTTGTCAAATGTAAAGCTACAACAATATCCTCAGGTCCAG